TTAGGCCTATGTACATTTATCCAACACTATGACCCATTTAGAGGTCTTTTTTATCTGAATCTATCTTTATTGAATGTGTATCTATAATTATTTTTTGACCAGGAGAGCCTTTTCTTTTAAATGCTAAGCAGGTGTGACTAGGACCAACTCTGTGACCCTGCCTGTTGGCTCTGCCCAGTTCAACATGGCAGAGCTATGTTTACTACCAGCTCCACAAGCCATTCTCTCCACCCCAGCTGCAGGGATGGAGCCGGTCAATGTCTTCATTAAATAATTTGTAACACGATGCTCACAGACCCCATTTAAGTGCTTGGCCTTCTGAAAGAGCCAGAACTATTCATGCAACTAACATGAACCAAGAAGCTGCCTTCTCGAATGGGGGTTTTTGCTGCTAATGATGAATCATAAAAACCTCTTTTAAAGGAGCCGCAGCTCTCCTGTTTGCTCACTGCCAGCAAACGGAGCCCACCTGAAAGAAAGAAAATGCGGCTACCAAGAAGCTGTGCTAAACTCTGTTTATTTTGTGTGTGTGTGTGTGTGTGTGTGTGTGTGTGTGTGTATGCTCTCAGGTTTTATGTGGATGTAGTCAGCCCATGTTGGCACGCAAATTTATAGGCAGGTGCTGCTTGTTTGTTTCCCATCCTCTCAGACCCAAAATAATCACACAGAAACTATATTAATTAAAACAGTGCTTGGCCTATTAGCTTAGGCTTCTTATTGGCTAGCTCTTACATCTTAAATTAACCAATTTTTATTATTCTGTGTATCGCCACAAGGCTGTGGTTTACTGGGTAAAATTCCAGTGTCTGTCCCCTTCGGCAGTTACATAGTGTCTCTCTGACTCTGCCTTTTTTCCTACTCTATCTGCTTGGAATTCCCACCTTACTCTATTCTTTCCTGCCATAGGCCCAAAATGTGCTTCTTTATTGACCAATGGTAATAAGAAATAGTCACAGCATTCAGAGGGGAATCTCACATCACACCACCATGTACCATGTATGGGGTCCTGGACATTGAATCCAGGGCTTCATGCATGCTATGCAAATGCTGTACCAACTTAACTGTATTGCTAGCTCTGTGTTGTTACTACTTAGAAAGCAAGCGTCACCTCTTCTAAAATTTAGTCTCAGATTGGAGGTGTTTGTTACATCTTTTACCCTTGTTGTATTGTCTGCTACTCAGAGGTTTGAGACAGCAGTGCATGCCATCTTAGGTGAACCAAGCAGGTTATAGCAGAGTCTTGAAGGGCATTTCTCACACTTGTATGGATGAAGCAATGTTCATGGTTTCATTTGTATCACTGCCAATTTTTTTCTGCATGCTTATACAAATATATATTGAATATAAGAATTGAAAATTTATGCATATGATTATGTACCTGTTAGGCATGCATGCCTCCAACATCCCCAAACTCAGGGTTCTGTAGACTGTGCTCTACCCACTGAACTACATCATAGCTATTGCGCGACTTTCCTTCTCACTCAAAGTTATACCTCAGTCTTCCACTGATCTAACATATAGGTCTATTTAATGTCTAAATAGTACTTTACATTTAACATTTTTCTTCTTGGTCAAAATTACATACATTAAATATAAAGGTTGTAATCAATTAAAAAGAAAGCTTCTAGTTTCCTAAAGAGTTATACATTTTTTTTTTGGAATGTGTAGCATGGCCAGTAAAACTATTTCCAAATATGTGTTTACTCAGTTGGTAACAGAGACTTCAAATCAAATATCTCCTCATTTAAAATGTGAACACAAAAGATTTACTTTTTATAGCAAGCATTTTGATGCCTTGGAGGGCACTGTTAACAGTACGAAAGCACACATAACATTTTAAACCTTGGCTATTCTCTATATTTCTATAGAAAGGGTTATTGAAGTCTAGATTTATTGCAGTGTCAGAAATTGTCAGCTCATTACACACTTTTACAAAGCTAGTCATTGATGGAGCTGAGGTAAATACCCCTGTGTTTCTAACTTTCAGCTCACCAATCTACAGGCGACTCTTTGTAAACCCTTACTAAACACCTGTCTCCCACCACTCACACCACAGCAGTGCGTTTCCTTGCTCCCCCCTCCCTCAGGCTACCTGACTTGTGACTCTTGTTTTGGAGTGGACTGTGTGTGCCTGAGTTTTGTTACTGTGCGCACTTTCACTTGTCATAGGATCAACTTGAAACTCAGGTTATTTTCTGTCTTTACTTCTGGCAAGGAGAAGGATGAAGTCATTGAGATGCCAGTGTCTATGAGGTAGTGTGGGCAGCTGCCAATGAGTGTGGGTGAGGGCTAGACACTGGGATGGGAGAAGGCAGTGCTGTATTGACTTGTACTGGCTCATGGAAGCTGAATTACAGTTTAGGAATATTGTGAGCTGGTTATAGATACAGCCATCAGTAAAATTCAGTGACACAGATTGACAGGGAAATGAATCACATTAAAAAACAACAGTCTTCTATTCCCCACACTTCTTTCTTTGTCTGTTTTGATACAGCCTTTGCCAATCTATGTATCAGGGCATTCTCGAGATGCTCAGTAATGAGGAAAGGGAGCAGAGCCATGGATCCCCTGCAGTCAGATACCATCCGCAGGATGGGAAGCAGCAGCAGCAGAGGTGGGGCTTAGGGTTGGCAGAGGTGAGGGGGGAGCTGAAGCGGACTGAGCAAAAGACATCTTCTGCAACAGGCTGGAGGGCAGAAGATACAGGAGGCAAGCCCTTCTAAAACAAGGTTTTCCCAATTAGAGTCCTATAGAAATATCTCTACTGACTGGGGCACTAGCCAACCCCTTTAGTGTGGAGACAGTGGCCACCTTGGGTGTCATTGTAGCTGCTGCCTCTTCCCTCTTCTGTCTTCTCTGAGAGCTGTTGTGGCCTGGGTGGGACTTTGAGACACCCTCATCTCCCAAGGATATTTTAGTAGGAGAACAAAGCATTATAGACTAAAACCTGGACAAAGACTTCAGAACACAAACAAAAACAAAACCCCACGAACTTGTATAGAGGAAATAGTCTACAGTTGTGGGTTTTTTTTAGATGTCTTAGCTACTGTTCTATTATTGCGAGGTGACACTGTGACCAAGACAACTCTTAAAAGGAAGCATTTGCCTTACTCTCTTTCAGTGCTTGCTTTCAGTGTAGACTGTTAGTCCATGATCATCGCGGCAGGAGGCAGACAGGTGCTAGAGCAGTAACTGAGAGCTTTACATCCTGACCTGCAGGTTTCAGAAAGAGACAGAGAAACTGAGTCTCACATGGGCTTTTGAAACCTCCAAGCTCACCCCAGCGACATACCTGCTCTAACAAAGCCACACTTTCCACTCCTTTCAAAACAGTTCTACTGAACATTCAAACCTATAAGCCTTTGGGGGGGGTATTCCCATTCAAATCTCTACACTAAGTAAATCTCTACACTGGGCCAATCTCATTAATATTCTGATTTTCAAATGCATTGTTAGTACTGACACAAGCTGTTGTGTGTCTGCTCCAAGAATATTCACAAGAGTAATACTTTGACAACCAATGGTTCATGTCAACCATGGCAGGTTCACACTAGAGTTAAAGGCAGGGGCAGGCTTATGAGTGTGAGAGTCGGTGAGATGACGCAGTAGGTAGAAGGGCTTGAGTTGCAAGCCCGACAACTTGAGTTCCACCCCGTGTAAAAAGCCAGATACAATAGTAAGCTTCTGTTACCAAGAAATCTCCCAGAAGATGAGAGATCAAGACCTGAGAATTGGTCAGAAGCTTGTAGACCAGCTTCTATAGAGAATGCAGTGTGGCAGAAATGAGAGAGACCCCAACACAGCAATGCATGTGGCCAAAACTGACCCCTGGAAGCAATTCTCTGACTTGTACATGTGTGCCATGACACCCATCTACATACCCACCCATAGTTACATGTCCACAAACTACACACCTGTTGAGAATAAATAAAATTAAATAATTGCAAGCATTTCTAACATAAGAGTTCAAACAAACATGCAGTCTGATAAAATCTCCATGCAGACCAAGCTTGGGTATTTATAGACTGTCTATGGTGAAGAGCATTTGAGTACACTAGAGGAAGGAATGAGCTGTCTGGCTTCACACTGGTTCTTGTCGTCTTCCATCTGTCGACTGCATTTTCATCAACTGTGGTAGCAATAGGCTGTCGTCTCACTGCTGAACAACTGGCCATGACATCTTTATGGTGCCAGCTGTGTTCCTCTGCCTGGGCTCACATTCAGCTATGGCCAGAGCGATTTAGCAAGGGAGTGCCCATAGGGAAGGGAAGCTCAGCTTCTCACTTTCCCTTTCCACCCACCACCCAAGCCACCAGCATCCAAGAAGTGGGTCGAAAGGATGTTGCTGTCTACAGCGTTTTAAAAGTTGCGTTTCTGAACTTCTTTTTTCTCATCAGAAAAATGGGGCTGTCCCTTAAAATTCCTCCCTCCGGGAAGGTTTTGTGTTGTGACTAGCGGACAAGTGAAAACAGAAAGACAAAACCTCAGATGGATTGTAGCTGTGGAGGATGGTCTTCATTTTGCTGATGTGGTCTTTCTCCGCATGGATGACGTGATGGGGTTATGGGCAGCCAAGTGTGCCTGCTTTTCTTTGTGCTGTACAAGTGTGTTTTATTAGCTGCTGCTCAGAGGCTGCAAGCCTACACTGCCTTGCGTCTTCCTTACATCTTTGTTGAGTACTTATATCTTGAGGGGAACAGCTCTTGTTGAATGAAAAGAATTTTCATGCCACTCAACTTGAAGTTCCTAAAATCCCTGCATAAAGCAGGGGCCTTATTCTGTGTCTGCAGTGGCCAGAACAGTGGCCAGTACTCTTTATTGAGTAACGGGTTTGTTGTTGTTGTTTCAGGCGATATCTATTGAACCAGTGAGTAGACAAGCGATGAGCGAAATAGAGTTCTTTTCTTACGACCAGAGTAGCAGTGATGTGACAAAGGCCGCATTTGGTACTCTTACCGTCATTGTATTGTAATGCATCTGCTTCCCTCTCCCTCTTTAACAGGGCTTCTTCATCCTCATGTTTGGAACAATCCTGGATCCAAAGGTATTGTGTGCGAGCCATTCTTGGTTTTCCTGGATTGAGTCCTTGACCTGAAATCTGCTGACTTGTGAAGAACACTAATTGAACTTTGACCTCAGGCATCTGTGCAGCCCCCTGAAACAGCGCATCATTTAAAACAATGTTCTGAGATTTTTATTGATGTTCATGTATACAAGTGCTTGCCTGAAATGATGTCTCTGCACCAAGTGTTGTAGTGTTCGCAGAGCCCAGAAGAAGGTGTTGAATCCCCTGGAACTAGAGTTACGGAAGGTTGTGAACTGTCACATAGGTGCTGGGAATTGAACCCTGGTCCTCTGAAGAGCAGCCAGTGCTCTTAAGCACCGAGCCATCTCTTCAACCCCATCAGGGTTCTTTTAATGTAGGGGATTCTTATCATCGTCCTTCAAACTCTTCTGAGGAGCACATTTCATGTGCAGTAGCTCTAAACCTCAAACCAACCGAGGGGATTTCTATTCTCTGCCTTAGAGATGAGAAAAGAGAGACACAGGGTGAAGAAACAGCTTCCTCAAGGTCCTGCTCTGAGTTCTAGTGGCAGAAATGGAATTTTTAGTTAAATCTCACAATATTATTTTGGGAGGATATCTCTCGGAGTGGAAGGACGTGTGCCAGGAATACAGGACTGCTCAACGAGGGATGCCAAAAGGTTCAGTTCCCAGCACTCACTTGGTGACTCACACATCACTCCAGGACTAGGGCATCTGATTCCTCCTTCTAGCCTCTGGGGGCAGTGCAGGCACATGGTACAGATCCACACACACAGGCAAATGAGCCATGACTACAAAGTAAAAAGTTAAGGAAAAAATGAAAAAGGAGCAACACCAGAACAAAATTGGAAACAAAACACCCGTGTCCACTTTAGGGTATCTTGTTTTTAAAGTACTGATGTTATTGAAGTTAACATCAAAGGTTTGTGAACAGAATTTTAAAAAAAAAAAAGTCCTCTCATTGCCTTACCAAGATGCTGTGTTACTCTGGAAGTCACTCAGCAGGGACACAGACCTATCCTTGGAATTTCTGTGTGTAGACAGTCTCAGGCTTATAACATTCCAACTCATAAGCCTTTGAGTTTATCATTGTGCAAAATGGTACACACTCAGGGGAGGCACCACTTGAACCGAGCTCCCTTCCTGGGCTAACGACATGCAGCATAGTACACTCTTACCAGACTGGGCAGTGGCAGCAGGCCACAGCTCTGAGGCAGCCATGAGCTTACGATGGTAAACAGCCAACACTCCACAGTGGTGTTCATAGACAGGCACGCCAAGTTGCAATTCTGACTTAAGATATTCTCAGCTTACAATGGGCTTGTTTTGATGCAACCCTCCCCCTCCTTCACAAGGAAGGTCAATGCTGGTCATGCTCCACAGTGCTTGAGAGTCCCAGATTTAAACGAGAAATTGTAAAACAACTTTATAGGTACAAATACACAGGAAGCATTTACAATACCCCACAGTCATAGTTGCCGGGGTTGTGTGTCTAGTAACCTGATGCCGTAACTAATACAGAGTCAAATAATGGCAGCTCCTTTGCTCTGTGTGCCAGAGTTAGATGCAAAGAATTACAAGCTATGCGGTCTCTGTCAAGATCAGAATCTCTTCATTAAACTTAAAATGTAAAAGACAAATACAGGAAGTGCCATAGGGCCAGACATGACTAAGGGATGCAAAGGGATGTGCATGAGGAGTCCTGGAAACCCCACCTGTGGTTGAAAACTGAGCATATTTTTCAAAATGCACTTACTATTAATGTGCACAGCATGCAATTATATTAAGTGAATATTGTGCGATTATGAAATATAAAATTTTATAAAGGGTCAGAGTAGAGATGCCAATAGAAGTGCCAGCATGGCCTCGAAGATCCCCCTGGATGCTTGGAGCACCTCCCTCCCTTACACACTTGCAGCAAAGACTTTACATCTTAACAGGGAGCCATGAAGTCCCCCTGAGCTGGCAGGCTTCCACAGGTCTTAGTGTGAAGACAATGTATGCAGGGCCCCAGAAAGCAGCATTTTCCATGGCAGAAGGGAGAAAGGAAGGGGAAAGGGAAAGGTTGGGGAGAGAGGCAGGAAGGTCTGCAGTGGATGGACATGAATCCCAGACCTGGATCTGTATCTGTGCAGCTGGCTGAGTGTGGATGTCATTTGATCCTGGAGTTTCAGCTTCCTCAGCAGTGTAGTGGGGACAACAGTGTCTATCTCTGAGGATTATCTTCTTCATAAAATGGGACGGCAGACACGAAAAACACTGTAAAGTTATAAAGTCCTCACTATTATTATGATTTCCTGAGTCTGGACCCACCGATGACTTTGTGTGGTACTTTTTCTCCTCCTGTATAGAAGTTTTGAACAATTCCAAATGAGATGTGATGTGGGATGTGATGCACTACTTTAATGGTTCAAAAAATAATGCCAGAGCTGTAGTTAGCATCCATGAGCAAACTTGCTTCGGAGCCACTGGGCTCATGTTTAAGACCACGGACCCATGCCTGCCAGAGAAGCTTTCCCCTCTCTGCCCCTCCTCGTCTCCTGGATTTTCTCTAGCTCACTCCACTTGTTACTGACCCACTGAAAGGACCCAGCTAGCCACTTGTGTCCTTGTCACAGTGTTAGTCACATCAAAGCACACCGCTACTTATAAACGTTCACTTGCTAATCCGTTTTGTTCAATTTCCAGATAAGAGAAGCCTTAAAGAGTCGAGTGATGTCTGCCAAATGGGCCTCCAGAGCATCAGAGGTAAACACCGTGTTTTCATTTGCCAAAGTAATCGTGTAAACCCTTCGGTGTAGAGCTTTTCTGGGTGGTTCCCTCTTTGAGCTGTTCAGAATCTTTATGGAGTCTGACGTCTGAATATGAAGGTAAAAGTCAGTTTAGATGGCTAAAGAGGGGTGACAAGGTGGCAGGTGTTGTAGGTGTGAAACAGGAAGCAGGTGACTACAAGGAACAATGAGAGGAGATGGAGGATCTCAGGCTCCCGGGACAGACTGCTGGTTCTCTCTGATACTGTTCATCTGGTCATGTGCAAAGTGTGAAAATTCTAGGGGTGCACACGCTGAAACCCAATACAAAGGACTCCCCAGGAGCTTGATTAGCAAGGAAGCAGTTGCCATGGTTACCAGAATGGCATAGGCATAGGGCCAGTTCAGGGATGTGGCGGAGGTGCTCCAGGCCCTGTGTGGGGACTGGACTGTGATGTGCTTTTACCTTATCCTCTCTTTCTATAATTTATAAACTTCATTGTGATGCCAGGCTCTTCTGGGTGAGGGAAGGACTGGCAATGTTTGCATGTTAACCAAAGGGACTCAGGGTTGACCCAAGCAATACGCCAACAACAAAAGGGCATCTGTGGCTTTGATTTGTCACCTGCCATTCCTCTCTCTCTCTCTCTCTCTCTCTCTCTCTCTCTCTCGCTCTCGCTCTCGCTCTCGCTCTCTCCTCTTTTTCTTTAGTCTTAGCCAAACTTTGGTCAAGTTCTTAGTCCTTCCTGGGAGATTACTGATTTCTTTATGTTCTCTCCCATCTAAAAGAGGGGGCAAACTTACTGAGAGCAGACATGTCCTCCAACAAGGCTGCACCCCCTAATCTTGTGAAAGAGTGTCACTCCCCGATGACCAAGTATTCAAACCTATGAGCTTATAGGAGCCACTCTCATTCAAACCACCAAAGGTTCTCTTCTCGAACTTGGCCTGATTATTTCAAATCCCTTCCAAAGTAGTAGCCTTGGTCCTTTCCTTGTGTGTTTTTAGAATGATCTATTCAGGCCACCATAGGGATATTCTGGCCGTTGAGGCCTAAGACAAACAGTCATTTTCTCTCTCTCTCTGGTTTTTACGTAAGTCAGAAAGACACCTTAGCCCTTCATTACTGTTGATGGCCCAAGTCCGTGGCTTTTGATGTTGGCCGTATCTAAGAAATATCTTGGGAGCGTAAAAATCAAAAGCAAGCAAATAAATAAATAAAAAACCTACACCAAACCACAATCCAGGCCTCACTCAAAAATTAAAGCAGAAACTCTCAAGGCTTGAGCCTATGCATTTATTTTAAGCTCGGCAGTGATTCTAGTGTGCGGTCAGGGTTAAAAGCCTCTGGTCTAAGTACAACATATACTTACCTTTCATCTTGCATTCCTTCCTTCATTCTGCTTGGCAGCTCTAAGCTATTGCCTGTCATTAGCTTTACCACCCTTGCCCAAGTACAGAAGCAGGGCTACCTTCCATTTAGCTGTCCTGCTTTCAAAGCCACTAATCCCTGGTAGTGATCTTCTACAGTCCAGATTTATGTCACCCTTTAAGGCCCCCACCTGGACAGGACCAGTCCCAGTTCCCCATCACCCAAGATGCCATATGTTCTTGTGTTCATTTTGTAGCTGACAAGATGAGCTAGCCTATGCTCATGTAGCCACAGATCTGCCAATGTTTAAATGTCTTGCTCCTTTAGACAACACATGTCTAAAACATACACAAAAGGTATAGGGGTGGACGTTAATGTTGAGGATCTCAGTAGAAAAGATGTTAAGAAACTGAGGCAGGACACCGGGTTCCTTTCCTCCCCTGCTCTCTATCCCTTCTCCTCTTCCTCACCCTTTTCTCTCTTCTCCTCTACTCTCCTTTCCCTTCCTCCTCTCTTTTTTTCCTCTCCTCCTCCTGCTCCTCTTTCTGCTCTTCCTCCTCTTCCTTCTCTTCCTCCTTAGGAATTCTCTTAGTGCCAGTTATGGTGGAGCAGGACTCCTTGGACAAGCCTGTTACTATGTTGTTAGTTTTAATTTGAAGAGGAAAGGAGGAGGTGATATGAAAGGGTGAAATATTTTCCCATGCCTCAGGTTCTCTGGGCATCTAGAATCACCGTGATGAGTGCAGACTGACTGGTACTGATATATGCAATATTTTGTCTTCAACAGGATCTTTCTTCTGAATTCTCTTGTCATCCTACCAAAGGGCCAAGCTAACAAAGTAGCATGCATCCCCACCATGGGAGGTGAGTATGCAGCAAGAGAGTCTAGTCTCTTAAGTATGCTTTGTGTTTATGGCATTTCTTTGATTATAATTAGAAATAAATTCTCTTGCTTCCTGTCTTGGCAAGGCACATTTTCAAATTCTTAGGTTACTGACTTTTTGTCCCATAAAACAATAAAGCATATCTGAGAAGGCTCCTGACCTGGCCTGGTATGTTTAAGGGGTCTGAGTAGGGATCCCCTCTCTTCCTGATTCTCTCTTCTCTATTGCTTGTTTTCCACTTCCAGGGCACCCACCTCATCAATCTCCTACTGTGGTTCTTTTTCTTTCTTTAGTGTTAAAAGGTCAAGAAATTATGACTGACAGTATAGGGGAGAGTCCTCAGGGTAGTGATGTAGACGCTGAGCAGTCATAGGGAACTAGAGTTCGAGAAAGGAGCCACAGGAGGAATTAATTCAGGGTCACAGAGAGGGACACGGCAACTCAGGTTTGGAGGACAATCAACGAGCTGCAGACTTGTACAGGCTCCAGAACAGCAGGGTTGAAGACAGAGACAAACACACAAACATACTGGAGCACATACAAACATACTGAAGTACTCACATCCACGGGAAGACGCACAGAGACGGGAAGTGTGTGCAGAGAGAGTGAGGGGTATATAGGGAACTCAGAGAAATGCAGACTGACTCGGAGAGGGTGATGTCCACACAGACCACGACTCACACAGAGTGCAGAGAAACAGGGAGATGCAGAGAGAGGCACTGTGGTATGTAAAGACAGTCTCCCATCCCCCACTCCAACATATCCAGGCTCCAGCAGCCTTCGTGACCTTGACAGTGGTCCAAGGCCTTGTAGAAAGAAATAGTTCTGCTGAGAGGAGTTACATTTCAAAGGAAATGGGTTCAGTTGCGTGTTAACACATGCCTCTGTAATCCCAGCACCTGGGAGGTGGAGGCAGGAGGATCACGACTATGACACCATCCTCAAAAAGGTTTGAGGCTGATCTGTGCTACCTGAGATCTTGTTTCACCCCATTCCCAAAATGAAGTGGTTCATGCTAGAGAAAGGCCAGGCTTACAACTCAGCACCTTCAGGGAATAGAGCCAGACAATTTCCTGGGTCCCAAAGAGCCTTATAGGAAGAGACTGTCCATCGGGCAGCTGGGCACTGTGCAAAGCATTCACATCTTGCTACTTGTATATTTAAGCTGTGATTTTCTCTTCTTGACAAGGTTGCTCATTCCTGGAATGGCAGTGCCTGAGGAAGCATGCACTTGATTCCTGTCCTCTTGCCACTGAGTACTTTGAAGGAAGCCTCTACCCTGCAGAGCTGATGGAGGGGGTGACATGTGGAAGGCCCCTCTGTCAAAGCTGTTCTGTGCTTCTAAACATGTCTTGCCCACCAACTGCAAATCTACATACGACACACTAAGCATCTGCAAGGGACAAGAAGACAAAGTGGGTATCAACAACAGTGTCTCACTGGTGCCTCCACCTCCACACGGCTGGGTCATATTTATCGTCAGGGAGAAAGCTTGGCATTTCTCAGCAACGGTGGCCTAGGATGCAGTGTGTTGGATTCTAAAGGAGAGTTCTCAAGAAGAGTCTCCAACAGTCGGACTGACTCTAAGTAGCTCACAGCTGGCTCTGTGCAGAAGGGCGCCTCCTGCCAGTGTACTCTACTTTTTCAAAATCAAACCGATTAGATGGTCAAGTCTGGCTGGGGCCTGAATGCAACTTCTTGGACTGTGAACCAAGAGAAAACTCTAGAGTGTTGGAATTGGACACGATGCCTGTTTTAAGATGCAGTGGAAACCTGGAACTGTGAGTCACGGCTCTGCTAACCTGGGCCAACTCTGTTGGCTTCCAGGGCTTCACTTTGTAGGCAGAAGTTTCTGTCACACCTGGTTCTGCAGCCGTTTAGTCCCAAATAAACACACAGAGGCTTATATAATCTATAAATTGTTTGGCCTATTAGATCAGGATTATTATTAACTAGCTCTTACAACTTAAATCAACCCAGTTCTTATCGATGTTTAGCCATGTGGCTTAGTATCTTTTCTCAGTAGGGCATTCTCATCTTGCTTCCTCTGTGCCTGGCTTGTGACTGCATCTCTCCTTTTCTCTTCCCAGAATTCTCCTACTCTGGTAGCCCTGCTTATACTTCCTGCCTGGCTACTGGCCAATCAGCAATTTATTAAACCAATACAAGTGACAAATCTTTACAGTATATAAAAACTTTATCCCACAGTATTCCTCCTTTTTCTATTTTCAAAATAAGACTCTGAATCTAAGCTCCTTTGCTTAGCTTTTTCCCTGACCATTATCCATAACAACTTGTCCATAATCCATATTTTGGGAATGTGGGCACAGTTTTCTAGGCTATTTGTGGCTAATTGAGAGTGCTGATAATCTTATAGGGACCCAAAGAAAATTTAAGATTATGGTCAAGTCCTGACTGGAGCATTCTGGAGTATTCTGTCAAGCTGGATCATCTCAGGCAGCAGTCTTGAGGTTGTTCTGGACATAGAACTCAGAGGAAACTGCAACAGAGGTGCTCTGAAACATTGGATTATCTGGGCCATCCATTCCCATTGGAGATTTTTTTCAGGGGATCTTCCTTGATCAAACCTTATTTTTCTTAATCCAGAATGAATCTATAGCCTCCCCTTTCCTGTGGAAACAAAAGCAAGACCTTTTCTCCAAAGTAACATATCTTTTAACTTAAATTTTAGCTCAGTCGGTAGAGCATGAGACTCTTAATCTCAGGGTTGTGGGTTCAAGCCTTACATTGAGTGTGAAATGTAACACAAATTAAAAAAAACTCAGAGTCAGATATTGGGGTTCAGCCTGAAGATCAGAAAAGCAAAGCAGCCAAGCAACTAGAGAGCTCTTACCTCTAAGAAATACTCAGACTGGAAAAGCGATCCTGCCTCCATGAATCCTCAGAATGAGACTGACTGAGACATATCTCCTCCTGTCTTGTATTCCTTTGTAGTGCTGGGATTAAAGGCATACACCACTACTGCCCCGCTTCTCTGGTGAAGTAGTGTGGCTACTGGGACTAAAGGTGTGCGCCACCACTGCCTGGTCTGTAAATCTGACCAGTGGGGCTGTTTGATTTTCGATCATCAGGCAAGCTTTACTTGTTAAAATACAAATGAAATATCACTAAACTACTTTCAGTCCCAGAGCATGGGGCCTCTGAGGTGCTTTTTGTTTTCACCTTCAGACATGAGAGGCTGCTGAAACCTGGATGCGGGAGAGGAAATATCGGATGTCAAGCCCTGTGCTGCTCGTTTTTCCAGCTGCATGTAAACACATCCAACATTCAAAGCAGACGTCACCTAACAGAACAATGCTGGGGGTAGAAGGCCTCTCTGAAGCAAGCCCACAGGTGGCTGTCTCAGAAGAAAAGCTAGGGTTGAAAAGGGACTCAGACAGATGCCCACGTTGTCCTATCTAGAGGCCAGTATTATTGATGTTCTGTTACAGATGGGAGGCTGGGTATGGTGGGCACTCCTGGAATCCCAGCCCTTGGAAGGCAGAGACATAGAGAGACACTCTGAGTTCAAGGCCATTTTGGTTTACATGGTGAATTCTAGGTGAACCAAAGCTAAAGAGTAAGATCTCGTCTAATAAAATAAATACCCCCCCCACAAAACAAAAACAGGATAACAAACAAAACTACAAAAAAAAAAAAAAAACCCAACAGCAAAACCCCAACTAAACCCAAAGCAAAACACGCATGGGAAAGCGAGGCTCACTCTGTGGGTGAGTAGCTCTTCTCCTTTCCACAGATCAGAGGCGGTCCAATCAGCGACTCTCCAGCATATCCCTGCATCTCTTTAAATAAAGAAGATGGGGAGACACAGAGCTGGTTTTTCCTCAGTGCAGATACCACAGCATCACGAACTAACTTGCTCATGGTAAATGTGGTGAAGTCAAGATGAAGTCTCATGTAACTAAATGGGTGGAAGAACGCTAAAGTGCACAAAACTTGAAAAAGACTAAGTATTGTCCGTGTCAAGATGAGAACTCTGGGCCCAGGGGGCGAGGGAAGGAACCATGTCTCCTTTGTATTACACGTTGAGTAGGTGCGTCTGACTGGAAAGCGCTCCCAGGTGCAGACACTCCGCGACAGGGCGGTGATATCACTAACCAAGAAAGGCCAGTGGATGCTGAGAGAACCTCTCCGGCATTCCTGGGGAATTTTCTCAAGAGCGTGCCTTCTCTCCTGTAGCCAAAAATACACACTTCAGCATCTTGAAAGATGTCAAGGGATTACACCGACCCTCAATAGAGACCCCGGTAGTACGCTTCTCTATCTCGCGAAGACGTGGTTTGGTCAGGTGTGTGACTCCAGTGAACACATACATGGGCCTCCTTGGAAAGTCATTTAAATCCTTTAGAATTTTGTTTCCTCATTTCAAGTTGAGGCTACGTCCTAGGGTTAGTGTAATGATTCTAAACAGTAAAGTATTTATAATAGTACTTGGAAATAATAATTGCTCATTAAAATGTTAATTTCTTTTATTACAATACCTGTGAATACATGCACATGCATATAAACACACACACACACACACACACGTAAACACAACCATGGCCTCTGGCATGATTGTGAATGAAGAGAACCCTCCTGGGAGCAAGTTAATTGACATCTAAATAAAACAATGAAGCATTTGATTTTTTTCTGAGTAACATTAGGGTTACGAGCCAGTAAAACCCACTGAGGCTCATGGAACGAGCCTGTTACCTACTGCTGCTTGATCATAATGCATCGTTCTACTCTTGGGGAACAAGCGTGTCTACCGTGGGACTCCACTCATTCTGTGGTGTTTCCAAGCCTGGCTTTCCTTTCTACCTTCTCTGAGGGGTCTTCCCTGCCTGGTACCTACACATACTTTTCCAATAATATTTATCATCTGCGCTGTTCACTGTTCATTAGTAGTTACTGTGCTATAGAGGTTGTTTGGCTTGCTCCTTTTTCTCTATGTCTTCTTTCCCAGATAAGGTTGCGAATCTTTAGGAACAGGCTGACTTTGATAACCACTTCGTAACTTTCCTCTGCGTGCTGCTAGGGCAACCAAGTGTCTTATGCACAGAGTGTGTTCAGTAGATATCCGTGTTCAATAAAGGCCTCTGGTGACACAACCACTTGAGACCGTGTTTCTCTTTTCCGCATCACGAACGACCTAGTACTTAATAAGTGACCTACATAGAGCTGACCCATTTCTACAAACGTCGTTTCCTTGTCCTGCGTTGTTGTAAGTTGTGGAACACAACTGCCTCTCACTTATTTCTAAGTGGGGGATTACAGCACTTGGGGAAAGAAGGCTTATACACAGGAGACATCAGCATTAGCATATGTGGGGCTCTGGTGCTGAGGCCACTGATCCAGACCGGCTGGTCAGGAAGCTGGGTCAGGAGAAGCTTTCTGCACGTGGAGACTACCTTCTGGCACCGCATTACCGATGAGCATGGAGAGCCGCAAAAGAACTTCTCATCCTATTCCTTACAAAGAAAGGACTAAGGAAGTAGGGCTGGCAAGACAGTTCAGTGGGGAAAGGCGAATTGTCACCAAGCCAGACGACCTGAGTTTGATTCTTGGGCCTCATGATTCCTGCAAGTTGTCCTTGACTTCAACATGTGCCATGGCAACCATGCACACACACACACACACATACACACACGTGAAATAAAAAAGAAAGAAAGAACCACAAATCATAAATCTTTCTGGCGCCAAGGTAGAGACTAGCTTATAATTTCCTGGTCACTTTCTTGGTCAGTTTATCTCCAAATTCATAGGTAGAGGTAAAATACAATAATAGCCTTTTAAAACCATAAACGATAGTGGTACAACCTTGCATGTTGTCACCCTGGTTTTAATCACAACAGGGAAGATGCAACACAGACTCCCATGTGATCATCTGAGATAAAGATGAAGAACTGAGGGACAAACAAGTGACTCACATCAATGGATTCGCTCAGACAAGAGAAACCTGTAATTTCTCCCAGGCGTGCTTGACAGATTCACTGTGGGGTGAATCACAGCCTCACACACGCCTGGAGGTTGTGGGCTGGCTAGCAGTGGCCAGATTGGCTTCTCAATACCGGCAGTTGCTTCTCACTTGGGCCTCCAGGACAACCTTTTCAAAAGATGAGATGGGTCACTGTCGCTGAAGGGTGCTGGAGCAGTCTGGTGTGGACATGTGATGGTGGGGCACCATGGTGGGCAGCTCAGTGCTGACTTCCCTCCCAGGTGACTGTCAGTCTCTGGGCTGCGAGACTTCTTCCTGGATGCGTGAGTACTGGCTTGTGCTATCACCCCTTTCCCATAGAGAGTTGGTTGTTTGCTGTATCTGTTCCAGAATGGGGAAAACGTGTGATTTGGGATGGTGTTTTCCAGAAGGCTCGATTCCGCAGTGTCCCCTTGCTAATGCTTTTGAATTTGGCCAGCTCAAAGTTGGAGCGTCTGTTTTGTATTTGTTTTTCTCTATGGAGTCATCCGTCGGGCTTGAATTGCTCATTCCTTGGAGTAAAACTGCAGAGTGTCTTGCCAGCCAATTAGACTCCTGGCCTCTGCACTGTCTCCGTGCCAGATAAATTTCAAGTCCCTTAAGATGGACCGCAAAGCGTTAATATTCTAGTTTCTTCTTTCCGTGAACCTGATAAATTGTCTTACTAGCAATGTAAAGGAAAGCCCCACCTACCGCGACTGCTGGAAACCCTTCCTACAGTGTCCCCCTGTTCTGAGTGGTCAGTGTGGGTTTCTAGAAGGCCTGTGCCCTGGACTCAGAGGGAGGCTGCAGGAGCTTTGGGGTCTCACTTTATTAGATGCTGTGTTGTTGACTATATGATTAGTGTCAGCACTCCGGTGAGCATCCTTACAGCATAGAAACATTTTCAACCCCAGTAATGACTCTATAATTATTTAAATAGAGAGATAGTCCAGGAGAGGAAGATGCCTTCCAACTCTGAAAGTTTGTGCTTCTTGAGAGATGTCAGAATTTGGGTCCAGACACAAAGTGAATGGATGCCGTCTAAAATAGCCAAGAAGAGACGGGTCTGGTTTTATTTCTGGTAGTTCTCTGTGGTTCTCTCTCCACCAAGGCTCCGTACCTCATCC